TTAAAAAGGCATGCATATAATATTCATGGTCAAAATTGAATTTACAAAAATACACATCCAGGATGACAAGAAAAAGTACCAGTAACAGTATGTATAATGTGGTATGATAGCAGCCAGGTAACAGTAGTACAAGTTATTAACACATGTATTACAGTACTTGAATTGTCTAACTAAGAAATACCAGCCAGTAATAATAATAATTTTAAAAGTGGTAAATATATATATATTGCACATAAGTGATATTGCACCACAGAGGTGTTATAGTGTGTGTTGTTATTTGTGTGGTGGTCAGATGTGGAAGAAGTACTCAGATGCTTCACTTAAGTAAAAGGTAAAAATACTATGGTCTTAAGATACTACTTAAAAGTAAAAGTCATTATTTTGACTTAAGTAAAAGTACAAAAGTATAAGCTTAAAGATGTACTTCAAGTACAAAAAGTAAAAGTACTCATTATGCAGAATGTATCTCTTCACAGTATTACATTATCAATGTTTGTCAATGTTGACCAAATGTAGATACTTGAAATACTATGTACATTAGTGCAGTACTGCATTATACTATATCACCATATAGTGTGTTTTTAAATGTCAAAACTAACTAGTTACTGTGAGTGTCAAATACATGTAGTGGAGTAAAAGTACAATATTTGCCTCTGAAATGTAGCAAAATAGAAGTATAAAGTAGCTTTAAATGGAAATTGTCCACCACTGCGTCACTGTGTTGTGTATACAAGGTTACATGAACATATCAGTCAGTGCTATCTTTATTTATTGTGTAGTTGTTTGAAAACTAACTAACGTAACGAATATATAACGATGCCAATTTCAGGTTAGCTCAACTAACGCAGACATTACATTTCAACACAAATGGGGCCTGTAAAGCCAGCAAGGTTAACTCAACAACAGTCCTTCAGGTGTCATAATTATATTACAGACTCAAGTTAGCTCTACATATAAGATTTCCCTTTAGCAGCAAAGCTAGCTTTAGCTCTGTAAATTATCCTGCAACTGTATATTTAAGGTAAAGCGCATACGCTGACCTTGTCATTCCTAAAGTTAGGTTAAACTTAGGTGACATTATGTGTATTTGTGTAGCTCTTATGGTTAAAGTTAGCGTTAGTGTTACCATGGATGTATAAGAGTGGTCGCTAGCATAGCTTATGCTAACGAGAAGCTACTGTTGATTATTTACCCAAGTAGCTAAACGTAAACAGTTGAGAAAACGTTCTCCCCACGGCGATTCCTGTTCTTTAAAAATAATGACATGAAACTCACCGAATCAAACAAATCCAGACGTATCCTTAACACAGAAGTCAATAATAACTGTGATTAGACAGAAAGTCTTGTTATGGTACTGCAGTTATAACCGATGTCAACTGCTACTTCCGGTCCAACCTTTCAAGATAAAACAATTCTGCCCACAAGTGTTTTTTTGCGTTGCAGTTGTATGTCATTATTAAACAGTGTTTTGTGTTGACTGGACCTCATTACAATAAGAGGGATTTCTTAACTGGAGACAATAAATTCAGTTCATGCACCTGGGTAAGCTAAACATAATGTAGCCTCTTATAGGCTACTGTAGCTTACAGTCAGTGAGAGAAAGTAACTAAGTTCATTAATTACTTGTTTTTCTTTCCACTACATTGTTATTGCATGACTGTAATTACTAGTTACCTGGCAGATGAATATTTAAAAACCCATAACGACCATATAAGTGTATAAACATGTACAAATATGAAACACATTTATCTTAAACCAAAAACAAGTATCATTATGGCTGCATAAAAAGTAACGTTTATACTATAGCGACCCTGTATAGGGTGCTGGGTGTGTCACTCAAGCATCCCCTGCGACCTGTAACCTGTAACCTATATCTGTATGCGATCAAAAGAGTTATTACATCTAATAACTTGAAGCCTGTTTCCGACTCCTATTGTCGAACGTTAAAATACTTTAAGTAAGCCTACCATTTCTTCATTAAACTTGCATATTTTTATATATGTATTGAACAAAGTCTGTATTTTTGTATTGAGGTAGGCCTATAGCCATGTGTTTCTTTATACATCGATCTTTGCAACATCACGTAGACCCACATTTACTCACGTTTTTGTGGTGCCTTGTACTTCTTTTTCTTTTAATCTTTTTCTTTTCATGCAGACACCCCGCATAAAATGTCCTCTTACTGTGAGGCAACTGTGCTAAAATGTTGCCATGCACCATCAATGATTTAACTCTATTCTGAAATTAGACATTCTGCATAATGGGATCTCAATCAGTGATTTTTTGCATGCATGTCTTTAGCTTGTATTGCAGGTTGGTAAACGTTTTCCTAACGTTAGGGAAGGTTATTAATAGCAAAGCCTTTAGCAGATGTTTGTAACTGTAAGGTGGGCCTCCTGTGAGGGGCTACACACTATTTCAGGGGAGGATCAGTGAGTGAAAAATGAAATATTACACGAGTCCTCAAGATTACACAAAATAGCCTTAATGTGCATGATTGGCTGAACAAATATAATTCAGAGATGCAGTCATTCTGGGGAATTTGTTATGTATTTGATATGAATTTGTTGGTATGAAACAACTGGAATATTATGCTATGCTCAATTGTTGGGTGTCTATATGATCCAACAACAACATAATGATTATATATGCCTCTAGAAATTGAACGAAACTAAGCTAAGGACGGGTGAGGGGTCTCTTTCAGGGCTTTAAAAACCTCTGACCTTTGGTATGCAATATGCAATGTGCAGCTGTGCACAGGAGGACCACTGAGGGGCGCCAGAAGCCAGCTGGAGCACTGGGGATTTCATTTTAAAATGTTAATATATCTCCTCCTGTAGGACTATCTTTATCTGCCAGTAGTTTTTATTCTATGTGTTTATCTTCATGCATGCATACTCACAAGTGGCATCATTGTCTCTATTTGTGTTTACTTAAAAAAGTGCGATTTTAAGAAAATAATTCAGTTTATAAATAGTGTATTTTCGGTGTGTATTTTATGTAAAATAAATGTAATATATAATTCACTTTATGATACAAATAATGTATAAAGTGTGTAATTTGTATTGTGTAATTACATTTATAGGGTATGTACTTATTTACATTTAATATGATAGTTTACCAGTTTACAGTTGTTTAACATTGCAATAGAGGGCTCTATAGGTTTATATATAATTACAGTTGCTTTGTAGATGCATATGTCATTAATATGAACACATTATGGTATTACCATTGGGAAATATTTGTATTTTCTTGCTCTTCAGTTAATTTACACCTTTATTCAACCTCTAACTTACTGCAAAATGTTTTTAGATTCACAAAAACCAACACAACAGGAAAGGGAAATGCCCAAAAAGCATATAAAGGGGCCCTTTTTTGATAACCCCCGACACTGAAAATATATGAACAAAACACCTCAAGACACATAATCAGTTGGTGCATAACAAGCCACGAAGGAAATAGTAAACTATTTTATTGACATTGTTAAATGCTATTTACAAGTTATCATAGTGGGCAACATTTCACACCATTATAGTTTGAAGAAAAATAACATAAAGTTTGTACACACTGGCATCCGGACACAACGACGATGCTCACTTGTACATAACACCAGTTTAGCACACAGATCAGAAAATGCAGAAAAAGTGCTGAGTATAAACTTCCATTTGAAAGAAGACATGTGTTGTATTAAACCTGCCTCAGTAGCCTTGTTTCAGGTGTGTTTTGGCACAGTGATAAATCAGTGACTTCTAGTTGTGTTCTTTTTTTCACTTATTGACCACACATCACATACACTATACTTTACATTACTGCCGACATTACCCTAACCAAAATACAACAACATGAAAAAAAAAAACACTGGTATTGTCCTTTGAAAGAGACTGCATTCTGCCACAAGATGGTAGCGTAGTAAAGATGTAGGAAGAGTTGGTCATTTGTACAGATGACCCAGCACAGTAATGAATTTGGGAAATAAACGTTATAAAAAATGATATTAACGTCCTGAGATACGCCAATTCACTTTTGATACTAAAGCTCTTAATTCAAATACTGTAATAGTGGGGAATTCATTTTGTGGGAGTTAAATGGTCAAATGTGTTAAATGGTCAAATGTATTAATATAATTGTGTCTGCTCTTCATAAGGATGTCGTTTTTTTTCATTGTTAATAAACCTATATTAACAATTTTAGAAGGACGTTTCAAATTGCTGATGTTAACACATTGGTCTTATTCATGTTCAACTCTTGCCCATGCTTTAAAGAAAGATTGCAATCTTTGAGGCGGATAATATTTTGTCAAAAATGATTGAAAGACATGAAGCTGTCCGGAGATGGTCTTAGATTTGTTCCAATTATCCAAAATTAAAAAGAAAATGTATAATTATTTTATAACCAAATCATGCTTTGTAAAGTACTTCTTGTAGGAAACATTAAAACACTGCAGGGGACAAGTAAAAAAGTATAAATGACTAACTTAATTGAGAGAAAACATATCTTTGTGATTTGTCTCTTGAACCCAAATGAGCTAAATTGCGATTAAAAAAAAAATTACAATATTAAAACCTTTGGCTTTTAGGGTCTGAAAAGAAATAAATACTGTATTGTACAGCACACTTCTGCAGGACAAATTCCAAAGTGCTTTAAAGCTGATCGTATAAGGACTTGGGTAGTTATTCGAATCAAACATGGTTATTTACCTGGTACATCCAGAGGTAATACCTGGGAGGTCTCAAAGAGGGTGCAGAGCGGAGACATTTCTACATTTCTCCTAGAGAGTTCATTTTCTTGAGAAAGTTTGATGATTCAAGGCTAATCGATTGCATCATAATTATGAGGTGGAAAAAATAGGGCAATCATATCGTCGTCAGAGGCATACAATGAGAATCTTAGGCTTATTATTTGGTAAATTACTGATTAGTACTTTGGTGACACCAAAATAAATAAATAACGCAACAAGAATGAGGGAGGTAACATGCTGTTCTCATAGCCTACTTGTAGCTTTAAAAGTAATGTAGTTTGTGTATATCCCATGAAATCAATTTGAATGTGTACGTTAATTACGAGCCAGAAAGTATAAAAACCAAGAGTTCTGCGTAGGGAGGAGGCCGGCACGGATGTATGGAGACAAGACTTTCACCAAGAAGAAAAATGTTTGTGTCCGATTTGACACAAGAGTAACTTATGAACTTTAGTAGTGACACTTCTGCAATTGTTGTTGACTTTTTTGTCACGTAACACTGCAAATTTGGTAAACCCGACGATTTTCCTAAACCTAACCAAGAAATGTTGTAGCCTGAACCAAAACAAGTTTTTTCCTTAGTTTAAAAAGACTTAACTGAACGTGAATTGACACCAAGACACAAGGAAATAGTTTAATGTCAGTGGTGTAAACGTGTAAAGTAAAAAGTAATATGTTATGTTAATATTCACGAAATCAATTTGGATGTATTCCATCTATGTTTATGTCTATTGTGACCCAAACATTGATTGTTACTTCCATACTTTAGTTTCAACCACGCCGTAATTAGTTTCAACCCAAACAATGACTTATTTGTCCCGTAACTTTGCCTATTCGGTAGTTGCTTTATCCCAAATGTCACCTTTTCTTAAACTAAAACCAGAACTTATGAGGCCTAAAGCAAACCATGTTTCCTCTGAAATACCTGTAATGAGCGGAAATTGACACGTGTTGCTGGACATTCGTAGGAGAACGGACAAAAGAAGAAGGAATACATTTTCTTGTATAAACATTGTATGAAGATACATTGCAAAGACATCAGGAAATAGTTAAATGTCAGGGGCGTGAAGGTGCTAAACTTCGTTATGTTGGGTGAGGTCCTCTGACATGCTGTTGTACTCGGTGGCCTTAGAGCTCATCTCCAGATACTGCTTCAGGAACTCGCTGAAACGTTTTTGGTTGTTCCACTTGCGCGCTGACTTACGAATGCCGATGAAGCCGCCATACCTCTTCTGGTACGATCTTCCCGGAGACATCAGCTTCCTGTAGCCGTGTCTCCCTTTGACGAATCCCCCGAACCTCTTGGAGACACTCAGCCCTACGTCGCCTTGTCCTCTTGAGGCAGCAGCTCCTTCTTCTTGTCCCGCCTCCTCTTCGTACTCATCCTCATTCTGGGAATTGAAGGCTGTGTTCAGAGGACCGTCATTCCTCCCCAGATCCCTCTCGTCCATCTCGAGCGCTCTTGTCACATGATCGTAACTCTGCAAGGCAAAGGGCAGCAGCAGATCTCCAGCCACCTCTTCCTCCTGTTCACCCTCCTCTGGAAACAGGGCCTCCGCCTCCTCCTGAGATCTTTTCCGTATGATACCGGTGAGGGAGGAAAGAGGCGATGAAAGCACTTTACGACAGAAGTCCCAGGAGAAAGCCGGGGAGACGTTGGCTTCGCACTCAGTGAGACACACCTGACAGAGACAGAGACAAGAGGACGTCTTCATTTTGTCTCTACACAGAAAATAGGACACAGTGACAAACTCATTACTTTGAAGTAAGCAAAATGACTAGAATAGAATCATACCTTCTGCGAAAATTGTTTTTAATGAATGCATGTTCAATCAAACCGTGCAATGTTTAATATTTTGCAGCCGTGAGACACTGTTAGGTCCGTTTATTTGGTAATGCCTGGTCCAGCTAAATCTAAATCAGATATATCTAAATATGCTAAATCAGATAAGAAAGTTAGCATTAAAGCACTTTTAATTAAAGAATTTGGCTTCCGATTAGATATTTCAAGATCCGTACTTAATCAAAGAAGACTAGTCGACTGCAGCCTTTGATAACGGGGAGTTCGTCAATCTGGTTGTAAATCATATTTAAAGAACAGACTGGCATTTCCTTTCGCAACACCCAAGCTATAAGATGCCTGCTACCCAAATATGTCTGTCTGGAGAAAAAACAATCCCTAAATTAAACACACTGCGTCGTTACTCGATATATCTGATTAGCTCTGGTTGTTTGAGTGGAGGCTCATTAACTCTTTCCTCACATAATATAAAATTCAATATGACAGAAGGAGACTGCATTGTATTGAGCTTAATTTACTGTTTCCACGAAGAAGACTAATCATGGAGGCTCTGGTGCGTTATTGATTTACAAGTAAAATGCTCTCCACGAAGGAAAGTCATGGAGATAAAGGAAAAGGAGAACATTGTGGCAAAAGCAGAAGAAGAGAGGGATGGAAGACAGTAAGTCAATTGATGGCGTATTACAAGTTGCCAAAAGAAAATGTCTCACAAAGGTCCTTTTGCAGACATGACATCATCCAGAGAGAAACAGCCAGCAGGAAGAACACACATCTGTCCACAGGAATCAATTCGCCTCAACAAATTAAAACTCAAATGCAAAAGGGTAATGTGTTGAGTCAGGAAGGGATGAAAACAGGAAGGTGAGGAGTTAAGAGAAGGATTCTGGGTAATTGCGAGTTATGTGCGAGGATGTAATCTGTTTTTTTCTGGATGGAGGATTTGCTCACCTAATTGGTTTTGCTCTTATTCCTTCAAGGTGGTAGCCTCAAATGTTTTCTGTTAAACTTTTATTATTCTGCCTTCAACTTTATGTCAAGTACAATTTTTTGCACGGGTAATATTTGTACACCAGAATATTACGACAAAAACAGGTTAAAAGTGCTGTTAAAGACACATTCCTATGTTGTATAACTTTGAAATAATTAAATCAAAAAATATTAAGCCTATTATGAGTTCTAATTAATCATCTTCAGCGCACGCCGTTATGGTTTGAGAAAGGTTACAAAATCAATAACAAACAGGATATTCAGAGTAACAGGGTTCTGATTAATATTCTTTGGCCTTTTAAACCTATAATGTTTTTCTAAAATGATGTTCAGATTTTTGAATATGTTTTTTGTGTGGCAATTCGAACAAAGAAACCCATATTACTCATATTAAATCATTTATGAAAGGGTCAACGCTGACCCGATGACAACAGGAAGACAATTAGAGGTGTTTCCGTTGGCAACAATCATGTTTTTTCTTAAATGATGACAAATGATTAAAAAAGTGCAAATAACTAGCACAGGTGTTTGTGTGTGTGTGTGTGTGTGTGTGTGTGTGTGTGTGTGTGTGTGTGTGTGTGTGTGTGTGTGTGTGTTTCCTTGGGCAAGTTGCCTAACCACATAATTGGTCCTGTAGGTGTGTCTACGATATTGAAGTTTATGTAAGCTGCTTTAGATAAAAGCGTCCGCCCAATACAACGTAATGTAAAGTAATGTGTGTGTGTGTGTGTGTGTGTGTGTGTGTGTGTGTGTGTGTGTGTGTGTGTGTGTGTGTGTGTGTGTGTGTGTGTGTGTGTGTGTGTGTGTGTGTGTGTGTGTGTGTGTGTGTGTGTGTGTGTGTGTGTGTGTGTGTGTGTGTGTGTGTGTGTGTGTGTGTGTGT